TTTAAAAAAGAACGAAAGCATGGATTTAAAAAGACACAGCAAGAACACACCTAAGAAGCTTCTAGAATAAACAAAGTTACTTTACCTGAAAACATTTGTGAACAAACGCTGCTGATGGACGTGAAGCTGCTGTAGCTCCTTAACATTCCTGCTCCATTTTCTCTAGCTTTAGCATTTTTACTTTGTGTGTAGCTGCCGCCACGGCTGTGACGGGACCTACGGGCCACCGTAGAGGTGAAGGCTAGACTGTCCGAATTCAGCTGAATTCGAAAATGGAGCAGGAATATTAAGGAGCTGCAGCAGCTTCACGTCCATCAGCAGCGTTTGTTCACAAATGTTTTCAGGTAAAGTAACTTTGTTTATTCTAGAAGCTTTCAGGACTTACATGTTAACTTTGGATGGTTTCATGTATGTTTTACGCTACAGAATGAACTTGTTAAACGTACACAACACTTTTCTACAGAGTATTATCATGTAGGTAATTCATATAAACCAAATGCATAATAAATGTTGAATGCAGTAGGATGTTTTCTAATGTAAATTGGACCTTAGAACTTATTTTGCATCAAATGAGGGTAAAACATTTTAAAAAACAGGCTTTTTAATACAATAGCATTGAAGTGTTTTCAATGTGCACTTGTTTATTCAACTTAAGCCTCCTAATAATGATTAGATCTGTCTTAAAAATGTAAATTCTCTGTAGTTTTCCCTGCTGCTTTTCTTTAAACTGAACAGAACCAGTGTACTGCAGGTTATATGTTTGTTTTACATGTTTCTATAAAAACTTTTATTTAATCTATTACAGGTCAGCATGCACTGTGCTGCACATCTGCATCTGTGCTGGTGAGGTTGTGGGTCGGGAGGATGAGCCTGAGGAAGATGTGTGTGGAGGTCAGTGGAGCTCTGTCCTGCAGGAGGTACCAGCAGACCACCACTACTGTTAACAGGCAAGTCATTCATAGAGATGAGCCAGCCCAGCAGTCCCTGTAGATGGACGATGGAGTGGACAGTGAGGGGAAGCGTCCCAAAGCTCTCTCAGCAGACTGTCCTGCATGATGTTCCTCTGGCCAGAAACGTCCAGCCACGGGTCTGCTCCAGCCCTCCATCCACGTCTGGATCCTCCTGCAGCAGATCCAGCTGTACTGTTAAAGACTTCCTGCTCACTCAGTTTAAATAAATGATCCAGGAAGAGTCACTCAGGTTAATTCTGCTTTAACCGTATAAAACTGGTCCATACTGGTTTTGATCTGTAAATAAGTGTAACCTATTATAAACAATCTTGTCTCCTTACCATCTTTTCATTTTCTGTTCATGTAACATGTTCAAAAACATCTGTAATAATAAAACTGGTGATAAAATCAATGACCAGAAAGAGTTATCAGTTAGTATTTGTTTTAATAAATGTGTTCAAATATCAAACAGCTAAATAGCATTAACATGATGACAGTAGAAGGCCTTTCTCCCAGGACAGGTAAAGCCTCTTCTGACCCTGGACACCTGCAGTCCTACAGAGAAAATCAGAGACCACAGGTGACAAAAAGGCAATAAACACATTTTTACATTCATCCACATGAGAAGATAAAAATTATATTCTTCACACAAACTTTTTACTTCATTAAAACGTGTCAGCTGTGTAAATCCCCAAATGTAAAACTACTTTTCACAGAAGAACTTCTGTGGTTGTGTGTGTAAACAGCTTCACTCTTCACCTCTAAGCTTAATAAAAACGCTTCTTTGCTCCGTTGTCCTTAAAACAAATGACAAGTTTAATTCGCCACACACATGCACGCACGCACACACACACACACACACACACACACACACACACACACACACACACACGCACACACACACACACACGCACACACACACACACACACACACGCACACACACACACACACACGCACGCACGCACACACACACACACACACACACACACACACACACGCACACACACACACACAGGAATAACTGGGACCCGCGATACAAACTCGTTCTGGCTGATTTCTGCCTAAAATGTAATTTAAAGAACAAATATACAAACGAAAAATGTCTATAAACTGAACCGCTTTAAGCTTTTTAGGTTTCTACGGCTAGTTTTTAACAAACTTATGTTTAAAACTTCGTAGCTCTCCTCATTTTCTCTTCCTGTTGAAAATCCACAGCCGGCGCGCAAAGCATGCTGGGATAGCCTTGTTCTGTGAGGAGACAACGAAGCGGTTAGCTAACGCTTCACAATGCAACAAAATGATGACATTTCATCAACTTACCAGAGAAAATCCTTCCGAAACACCGAATAGTTGAAATGAACTGTAGTCAATGCAGCAGCGGGGCTGTTTGGAACTATTCGAAACTACATGAACCACGTGACTTCCCCATTCCATAGGAGTCTTGGAGTGTCGTAACTCTTTACAGCTCTGACAAAACCCTGCCCTCCTCTCCCAGTGATTGGACAGGAATTCGAGAAACGTGATTGGTAGCTAAGAGTCGTGCTCTCATTGGTTCCACCCAAGTTCCTCCCACTGACGCTAGAATCGAGACAAAATGATCCGTAACACTGTAGGATGTGAGGTTTGTACCTGTAATGTGTGTTTTGTGAGTTTTGATTTGAAACTTGTACTTTGATTTTTTCAATTTGGAAGTCTGCAAGTTACAAAACAAAAGTTTCATGTTTCTGAATGAATGTTTGCTTTTACAAAATAAAAAATACATGTACAAAATACAATGTTCCTGTTACAAAACAAGAGTACAAGTACGAATTGAGAATTACAAGTTACGAATCCAAAGTTACATGTGATGAAACATGTTTGCAGTTACAAAACGTGGTACAAGTTATGCTGAATATTGTCCCAATTCTAGTTCCATAGACAAAACGTGGTACAAGTTACGCTGAATATTGTCCCAATTCTAGTTCCATAGACATCATCCTAGCACGTAACGTTCTGTGACTCTTTAAAAAACAGTAAAAACGGTGAGAAACACTGGCAGCGATGGGCTTTACCGATCTGGAAATGCTGGCAACAAATGAGTTGAATCCCAGTAAACTATGCTTTTTTAGAACATGGCAGTGATGGTAGAAAACAGGCTTTTAATCAAGTATTTTAGTCCTCTTTTGTAAAGGTTTTCAATGTTCTTCAGCGTTGTTGGGCATGCAAGAGACCAAGAAGACAAGCAATGGTCTATATGGGAGATAATCATAGTGTGAAAGTACATTTTTGCAGCATTCATATTTAAATTACTGCAAATATGGCTGAAATTTCTATTATTGCATTTGATTACCTGGGACACTTTCTTTACATGACGCTTAAAGGACAATGAAGTACAGCCTCTCATCCCAGAGGCTTCTGCCAGACTTGGGTGTGGTCAGAAACAAACACACTGGTTGTGCTGCAAGTCTTTTTCTTTCTTAATGTGTTTCTGTCTAAATGAAGGAGTTGTTCATAGAATTAAAACTCATGTTGGGTTCAGGTTATTTCATTAAGTCAGACCTGTGGTTAAAACATGTAATGTTTTGGATACTGCCTCTTGAAAGAATTGGAATCAGGAATTGATAAGAACCGGAATCAAAACAGGGAAATTGGAATGTTCAAACTGAAACAATGCCCAACCATACTGATGAGTTTGGGTGTGTTTTGATCTAGTTTGCACATGGAACGCTTCTCTAGGGTAGTTGTAGTTATTCTCCTACACTCGTCTTGATCTGACATCAAAAACCATTATAATCAAATGCAACCGGTGTGTGTTGTGCAAAATATCATTTTATAAGCTACAAAATTCAGAAAGAAGGGGTAAATATATTCCAAACATTTCTACGTGGGCTAGCTTTGTTTAGCCATGCAGCTTAGACCTCACGAGTGTTTAAAACTTACTAAACTGTTATTAAGAGTCAAACAGCAAAAATGCATTCGGATCTAATTCACAATAATTAAAACAAAACGTTTCCCCAGCCACTTGAGTCAGCTCCTCCATGGGAATCCCAAGGCATTCCCTGTGGCCAGCCCCTCCAACATGTCCTGGGACTTCCTTTAGGTCTCCTCGCATGTCTGCGTGGAAGGAGACCTCTGGGGAACCGTCTGCTTCTCCAGAAACTTCTCAAGCAAGACGATGGAATCAGGAAGTTGTGCGCATGCATGAATCCGGTTAGCCGTCTTTATACAATAAAATGTTATCTTTGAGTTTCTGGGACTGATGATGATGGTGATGTAGTAAATGTTATGCTAGAAGAGTTTTTTCACATACTTGTGTTGGAAACCTACATCTAAAATCAGCTGTGTTCATTACCAGTTTTAATAACACAGAGCAGGTGTTAATGACGTGTTCACCTGGCCTTGTGCTGCCAGTGTGCTCTGCTTCTTTTTTGGTTGGTCCATCCTGCAGTGCTCAGGCTCGCTGTGAACCTGGATGCAGGCTCTGGGATGGATGCGCACATGCAACAGACAGGAGGAGCTCCACTGCTGCTCATTTTCATCGTCATATAAACTGTAGCAACACACCTCACATAACCGGGACCCCAGCAAACGGAAGCAGGTGGACGCATCTTGTGTCCATTTTGGCCACTTTTACCGTCTGCGCCGCTGCGCGTACGCAAGCACGCGGACGGGCATTCAAAGGCAGGAAAGGACAACACAAAGACAGCCTGCATCAGCTAATGCGGTCACAACACCAGGAAAGCCTCCAAGTATGCACGCTTTTGTTTTCAGAGCTGAACGAGCCGCTGGCGCTGCGCCAAGCTCTCCACTTCCCCACCACGCACGAGCGCTGACGGAGGTTAGAGGTGGGCGCGCGCTTTACGTCACGGCTTTAAAACGGTCCTCTTGTGTTTTAGATCTCCGTGGGGCATCCCCCGGAAGTCCAGAACCATGAACTGAAACTTCCCTGAGGCTGACTTTCGAGTCTTTTCGGTAAAATTGGGAAACATCTGGGATACGAAGCGAAACAGCTGTTATAAACGAACTCCGGGACATCACAACATCCACTAAACCCAAACTGGGACACTCACCTGAACCTGCGAGTCCAGTCAGGACTGCAAGGAACCAGAACCTCTGTAGACTCATTGGTCTGCTGAGCAGGAGACCCGGAGACACGAACAGAACAACCCGGCTGGAGACCTTCTAGAGAGGGATGGTGAACCTGTCCTCTGTCGGCTCAGAGCCGGACTCCCACTCCTCAGCAGCACCTCCCACGACTCGGGCGGAGTTATGACCTGTTCTGCTGCTGATGAGCTGCTGCCTGGGACATGTTTCACATGCAGGCAGAGCCGGATTAAACAAATGGACTACACTAGGCAGGCTGCATTCTTTGCCCCCCCCGCCCCCATGTTATTTAATGAATTGAAATCTAAAACTTATCCAAAGTTAATAATAAAGGTTCATTCACATTTTACATAGCCTAGTTTTTGGTTACAAATTGGTTGTTTGTGTGCCAAAATAAGTCATGTGTTGTATATTAAATATTCTATCAGACTATTTTTTGATATTAATCATTTATACGTCATTACACAGCTGTATTAAATGCTTATAAATCATCCTCATCTTATCGATTGGGAGTGCCATTGTCAAGGCGGTACCAGTAAATAACCACTAGGTGTCATTAAACTATGTAAACAGAGCAAATATGTGTCTCTTATTTGCTCTGTTTACATTTAATCACTACATTTAATTAAAAAGATTTTCTGCTAAACACAATAGCTTAAAACATTTATAAATGTTGACAAATTAATCACATGATAGTTGAAAGACATTCAAGAATAAATAGATTAATTTGAATGGAATGAAGCGTGCTTAAAGGCGCAAAAACAAACTATAAACATGCAGTCTAAATTATTACAGTATAAATTTTATACAATCTATAATCTTAAAAGAAAGTATTTTAATAAAATGAAAACATTATCTTAAGTTTTGATCTTGCTTTATGCTCATTCAGGCTGTTGTTGCTTTTGCTGAATCAGAAATTCTGTGTCAATTTTCTGAGTGTGAACTTATTGTTTTGCTATTTGAACATTAATAAAATTATTTGAAAAATGATAAAACCAGCAACACTTACCAAGGAAACCATTTAGCATTCTTCACTCCGGGATAATCTTCAGCCTTCCAGCATCACAGGCCTCAATCACAGCAGAAACGCGTCTAAAGAATTGTTCCTTGGTTAAGCTTCGGTTTATGTCTCCAGATTTCCTCTGTGATGCCGAAGAATATCCAATATTTTGAGAGGGATGGTTTAGTGCAAAGTACTCGTGCATCGTGTCATCAGTTTGGTACCACTTTGCAGGATCAGATGGGTAGCTAGTTGTTAATACCCTTTATGGGTCTAGAGCAGGGGTGGGCAATTATTTTTTCCATGGGGCCACATGAGCAACAGAAAATATTGTGGAGGGCCAGGCCAAAAGGCTGAAGTCAATTATGCATAATATTAATGGTATTTCTTTATAAAAAGCAGTAAATACCATTGTTTTTTCAAGCTGGTAAGAGTAGACTATATGTTATAAATGAGCAAAAAGGAAAAAGTGAGGTTGGCTTACAAAAATATGATTTATTCAAATTTCCCAAGGCAATGGTAAACAAAGTGTGCATTTGGTTTCTGTTAAAACATTTGTGACTTATATTAGTTACCAGTTTTAGTCACATTCACTCCAAAACACATTTTGAGTTTCAAATATTGTTGGAAAGAGTTTCTTAGCATTCTACAGACACACAGTATTGTTTGTCAAATAAAATCACTGAACTGTGATCTTTAGAAAGAGGTTTAAGAAAAAGTGTCCCAGTTCACTGCTAGTTGACTACATTTGTGGTCCAAACACCTTATTTTGTGTTTTTAAGAGATTTTTTTCTTATTCAGTGAGAGAAATCTAGTCTCTGCTGGGCTTTAACAAGTGCATCAAAGTCAGGTTGAATGTCTGAGGTGGAGATGCGAAGCACAGCTGACAAATGATCATCAGTGAGAGAGGCTCTTTACCTGGATTTTGTAAACTTCATCATTGAAAATGTTTGTTCACAAATGTAGGCAGAGCCGAAGAGAACAAACATCTTCTGAGCATGTCTCCTCAGGTTTGGAAAGTTCTCCTCCTTAAGAGAAGAGTAGAAATCCAGCAGAGATCCTGACTTAAAGTGCTCTGCCAGTACTGCATCAGACTGCAGGTCAATGAGTTCCAGCTGCACATCACTGGGTGCATTATCCACACTGCAGGTAAAGGGAGAGGAAATCATGTCCATTTCATCCTCGATTGTTCTGAGATCTTCAAAACACCTTGAAAACTCACCATGTAATGCTCCTAACATGGATGAGTACCTGCTGAGGTGATCAGCTGATGGTGTGACTTCATTCAGGGTTTGCATGTGAGTGAGAGTGCTGCTCTCCAGTTGACTTGAAAGAAACTGCAGCTTTCTCATGAAGGCCTTCACGAGGCTGTGCATTTCATGAACAAGAAGGCCCTTGCCTTGCAGTTTGGTGTTCAGTTCATTCATCAGTGCAGTCACATCAACAGCAAATGCAAAATCTGCCATCCAATCCTCATCTGAGAGCTCTGGAATGTCTTTGCCTTTCCTCTCGCAAAACTCTCGAATCTCTGCTTTCAAGTCCCAAACCCTCTTCAGCACTTTCCCCAGGCTGAGCCATCTGACAGCTGTGTGGTAGCCGATGTCACTATGCTCAGTCTCATGCTCCTCCAAAAGAGCGACAGACTGTCTGTGATTCATGGCCTGCGCCCTGATGAAGTTTATTATTTTAGTAACAACATCAGTAACATGGTTGATTTTTAGCACTGACTTGCACAACACATGTTGGTGTATAATACAATGCAAAAACACCTATTTTTGATCTGCATCGATTTCTGTCACTTTATCTTGCATGCGTTTCAAAAGTCCGACATTTTTCCCTGTAAGATTTGGACAACCGTCTGTTGTGACACCTGACAGTCTCTCCCATTTCAATCCCAGAGTGTCCGTGCACGCATTTACCTCTGTAGAAAGATCACTCCCTGTCGTTGTCCCTTTCATCGACCGCATTGCTGCCAGCTCCTCTGTGAGCTTGAAGTCCGTTATCCCCCGGACAAATACGAGCAGCTGGGCTGTGTCCCGGACATCACAGCTCTCGTCTAATGAGAAAAAGTCAAAACTTGCCACTTCACGTTGCAGCTGAAGCTCCAGGTTCCCCGCAATGTCCTCGATCCTCCTGGTCACGGTTCGCCTGGACAGCGGGATTTGCTCAAATGCGCCTTTTTTTCAGGGCATATTAGTGCGGCAGAGTCCACCATGCACTCTTTGACAAACTCTCCCTCCGAAAACGGCTTGCTGTTTTTAGCTATTTTGTGGGATATCACAAAGCTGGTCCTGGTTGCTGCATCCCTGGATGTGTGAAGCTTAGTAAAACAGCCTTGCTGCTTTTGCAACTTTGCTAGCAAAGCTTCGGATGTCCGTGCCCTCTCAGCATCAGACAAGTTCTTGTATTTTTACGAGTGTTTCTTGTCGTAATACTGACTCAAATTGTAGTCCTTAAACACGGCAATCTCCTCCCCACAAACCAAGCACAAGCTTTACCTCTGACTTCAGTAAAAAAAATACTTAGCAGTCCAATTTTTGTTGAAAATCCTGCATTCAGTATCTTTCTTTTCTTTTTTTTTTTTTTTTTTTGCATGAGCGGACATTTCTGGGGGCTACAATCACCATGTCAACCGTGGGCACTTGTTGCTATACGTATTGCGTCATTGTGCACGTAAAAAACAACTTCAAAATAAAAGCAATGCAGCCTTAGTCCATGCATGAGGGAAAATGAGAAAATACATTTATTTTGTAATTTCCAATTAACCTTACATGGGCCGGTCAAAGTCAGATTTCCAGGTTTGGTCTCGAGGCTCCTGTAAGACTATATTGGTCTTACTTCTGGCTGGCTGCTGTTCTTTCAGTTCGTCCTTCTGTGACGGTGTTGATGTTGATGGCATTGGCGCTACAGCGTCTTCCGCCGCACCTTCCACCGCGTCTTCGGGCGTGTCTCCTCCGGGTCTTGCTCGGGCCCGGCCTCTGGCTCTGCTGACTCGAGCAGGTTCACAGCTGTCGGACAGCTGCCCGAGCAGCCCGACAGAAACTTCTGTAAACCCCCCCCCCCCCCCCCCCCCCGTCTCTTCTTTTGTTCCTCTTCCTTTTTTTCTTTATACGTTTTGCCCAGGCCCCCACAATGCAGCTCTGAAATTGAGTCAAACCCGGAAGAGAAATAAATTGCAGTTCCACCCTCATCCACTTGGGGCTGGTGTCAGAAACAAGCAAATCCTCATTGACTCCCATGTTAAAAATACCAATTTCACAGCAGAAATAAACATGTTTACAGCCTGGTACCAAAACATGAATTTTGTTTAAATGATCTGGTTTACACTCATGACAACTCTGAGGGGGGTGAATTTTTTTCTCACTCTTCTGTTTAAGTGTATCAAAAGCCTAAAATTCTGTATAATTAATGAGCATCAGACCCGCGTGACCACAGAGCTAGCTCCGTGGAAAGGCCTCAGTAGAGCCTCGGGCTGGCTTGGAAACTGCTCCGGGATTTTGAGTCTCTGTGTTTGTGTATTCTTTTTTGGATATTTTTTGTGCAATTGTTGGACAAAATGACTTGCTGTGGCATTAATTGCACTAATAGAGCGTCCAAGGAGTCTCCACTTCATTTTTTTCGGTAAGTAAAATTATATTTATGTATTTTAGGTCACTGCCGAGCTGAGCTTAGATTTTAACATGTACTGTTTAACCATGAAATTTAAATGTAATACGGTAAAACCCAGTGCATTTAACATAATGCTGCACTTTAGAAAATGGGTTGAAATATAACATGTTGATGGACCTGGGTTCCGACTATCGGCTTGTGGAGCTCTCGGGAGACCGATGTTTTCCACCCTTATCCCCTCCCCGCAGCCCGGTCCATCTCTGTCTGATCGCAGCTTCTGTTAGCTGCGCGGGCTGACGGCTGGTTCTCCCAGCAGCTCAGCGCATCTGTCTGATCGCGGCTTCTGTTAGCTGCGCGGGCTGATGGCTGGTTCTTATGGCAAGCCAGAACCGCCAGAATACACCACTTCTCCCCGCAGCTCGGCGCATCTCTGTCTGATCGTGGCTTCTGTGTGCTGCACGGGCTGACAGCTTGTGGAGCTCTGGGATGGAAACCTTTCCACCCGGTTCTCCCCAGCGGCAGCTCTGCGCATCTCAGATCACAGCGGCGCTTGTCTGCCGG